TCAGCAGGAGAAGGAAAGATGAGCTGTTGTTTCCTCTTAGAGGAAGCAGAGGGATCATTACGTAGTGTCTTTTGCTGACTGCCCTGGGGGTAGGTGGTGCATGGCCCTCTCCTTGCCATCCGGCACAAGCGCAGCAGGTGCTCTGCGCTCCAGCACAATAGAAACTGCAGGTGTAAGAGGAGCCAGCACCTTGAAATATTTAGCGTGACCCTTGAACAAACCTGACCTGTCACTGTCGCGGCAATCAGTGAGGGAAGGTGCATGTATTTGCATGCGTCTATCATCTTCTCAGCACTTAAAATTTACATTGGTGCTTCTCATCTGTACATCCCAAGTGCCCTGGCAGGGGCGGGGGGTAGGTGAGGGCATACTGTTAGCCCAGTTTTATATTGGGGGAAACTGAGGCACAACCTCCTATTTTCACAAATGCCTAAACATTTTGTGTCGCTACCCTTGATTTTTCCAGAGTTGCCAGGGGCCTCCAGCTCCCCTGCTTTCATCTGAAGTAGGGCAGGTGCTCAGTATTTCTTATAATCAAGTTCTGGGTAGCCCCGGTTGGACCCCAGAGTTAGCAGGCACTTGGCAAATTGGTGCAACGTGTTTCCGTACCTATGACAAACTAGGAGCAAGCCGACCCGAGAGTAAAACCCAGGAGCGCCTGGCTCCATTAGGCTGCCTGCTCATCCTCACCCGAGACTTCCCATTAAGTGCTCTGTGTTTCTTGATTTGTCTTAATTGAATTAGAAACCCTTCAGGGGAAAGGAACGGGTCTCATCTGCATTTGTAAAGCGCCCTGTCAATTTGCGGCGATATACATGTGTGCACGCGCTGCTAATAATAATGCCTTGCCTTCAGTGCGTCGGTGCCTGGGGGAAAGGCATACGAGTCAATCTATAGCAAATTAGAGACAGCCTCCAAGCCCTTCTCCTTGGTATTACAGGTTTATTCTTTTCTTCTTTATTCCAAACGGGGAGTTTAGCCTCGCTATGACTTCACAAGGGTCTCCAGCTGCAGTTCATGTTGGCCACTCGATGGTTATTAGCCTCCATGATCTTTTCAAGTTGAAGAGCAGCATCATAGTAAGACAGGCATTCAAAGCAGAAGCCCCTTGCACAGCAGTCTCCTGCCATTGTCAAAGGAAATGCAGAGGCCAGAACATGCTGCAGCAGATTCAGATAAAATTTGCCAGTGCCCTAGGTGACAACTTCCCAATTTCCAAAGTCCCAAAGGGCTGTGGTGTTATACTGTGCACCATTGCAGCACACCGCCATCAGAGTGCTTGCCCCCTACTAGCATCCAAGCCCCTGCTTTGCTTCCCCCTATAATACATGGGCCAACCTAAGGGTGGGGGCATCAGGCATCAGCCGAGTGGGAAGCTACTTACCTAAGCTACGTAAGAATGAAATGCAGAGACAGGAGCCTACGTCCGGCCAGGCGAGGACCTCCCTCTGCTTGGTATCTTCACCCATGAACCTTGTCTTGCGGTCAAGTCCTCAAGCCATCCATTTGCCAGGAGAATGTGCAACGTGTCTCGATACAATAGCTGAAGCAGGGGTGTCAGACATCTGGATACAGCCCGCAGAGGCCCGGTGCCCGGCTGTCCTTTCTCTTGCGATTCTCAAGAGAGCTGAAAATTGAAGAAGAGTTGAAGGTGGCCTCACTTTCCTTCAGACAAGTGTCCTCTGGTTGATGGACCTGCACCCCTTGGATCAGTGATGCCCAACCTTTTTTGTACCGGGACCCATTTGTAACCACCAATGGCCAGTCCCAACCCAGTAAATAATTTTAAATAAAAAATAATTTAATGCCCCTTACACCCAGCCCACGGCCCACCAGCCCCCCAGTGTGCGAAGCAGGTGGGTGTATATGGAAAATGGGGAGCCCCAAGCAGCCCCTTGCAGGCTGGACCTCTGCCAGCCTGCAAGGGAAAACCCACTGTTTCTCTCTTTTCTTCTCCTTTAAAGGAGAATCCATTTTTAAAGTTTGTTCACGACCCATTCATCTATTCTTGCAAGGTATCCAGGTTGTAGCTATACTGGTCTAGAGGAAAAAGCAATCGGGACTCATGGTAGAATGACCATGAGTCAATCTATAGCATTATAGATGCTATAGATTGACTCGTGGGGAACGTTTACAACCTTTTCTCTGATGCCTGATGAAGGGTGTTTGTGCCCGAAAGCTTGCAATTAAAGATTTTTTTTTTTTTTTGCAAAAATCTAGTTGGTCTAATAAAAGATACCACCTCTGCCACGCATCCCGATTGCTATATTTTTGCAACCCGCTTTTGGGTCACGACATGTGGGTCCCACCGATTGAGAAACACTGACTGAGGTCACCCCCGGTGTGTGCCTGCTCTTTATCTTAACTTCCTCCTTCTTTTGTTTTGTGTTAATACTCCCAGTAAGTACAGCCTGTCTTCGGATTAGCCCTCTGCCCGCTCCTACTAATGAGGCCAGAAAGGAAAACACTGGCGAGTCCTCGGCAATGTAAACACAATATGAATCATGCGATATTAGCACTGTTAGGTGTGCAAACTCTGGCACATGATTCGCAAGATAAATCCAGGGATTTCAAACACAAACCTGAAAACGTAACACCGTTCGTCGTGGTACACTGTAATAGTGAAATAATCCTAGGGAATATCTTTAGCTAGAGAAACCCAATAACGTGTACAAGCGCCCTATAGTTTCAAAAACTTCCTGACTTGTTGGGGTCTTTGCAACAGGAGAACGGCTCTCTTATTTTTCCATAGTTAAAAAAGGAGTGAAAGCTGAAAGCTGTCATTTTCTGAGGGGTGACTGGGGTCTAAGACGTGCCTCAAATCTAACCAGCTTGAGGATCCCAGGTGTAAGGGGACTCTGCAAACGCAGCAGCTGGCATAAAAGCAATCTGAAGACAATAGCGGTGCTAGTGTCGACATGATGACGTAGCCGTGATGGTCCAGGAAAAATGTAAGGGGAAAGGATTTTGGGGGGATGACGTCTTTTATTGCACCAACTGTACCATTGGGAAAGATGGAGACCAGCTTTCAGGTATCAGGTATTGTTAGTTAAAGGATTTGCACCTCTGCTTGTAACAATAATATTAGGCAATGGTTTCATAATAAGCAAATGCAGCAAATGTCACGTCTCAGGTATTTGCGCTACCTGTCTAAAGAGGATGTAGACAAGGAGTGCTGTGTGTCGAGAACACAATGCCGAGACATGGCGGCATAGCATGGCATCAGGTATAACGAGTTTCCCAGGAAGCTGCAGAAAGGTAAATGGAGCGAATTAAATGGTTCAGTGAAAAGCAAAACAAAACTATCCTCGTATCAGCGCAGCACACAGGACACAACAATGAGAGCTACCTGTGCCCTTCCTTGAAAAACGGCTGCTTCCCTTTGCTAAGGGAGAGTTTTTAAATAAATGCATGATGAGGGCCACAGATGTCGGGTGCCCAGAGGCACGGCAAGCTTTGGCAAGCATCAGCCTCCCCAAAAACCCAGCGCCCAACAGAATCTGTGATCGACCCCATCATTTGCAGAGTCAACACTGGACTTTTTCAGCTGCTTTTTCAATAGCAACTGATGAAAGCACGGATGCGGGAGACGTTGCACAGGTATCAACTGAGGTCCCAATGTGACGGAGGAGCTCGTGGAGGTAGCGCCAATGAAAGGTACGGCTGCAGGAGAATTGCAGCTTTGGACAAACGAGGCGTGGACTGGAAAAGGGCAATAAGTGTCGTGGCAGATAGGGCTTGTTTGGTGGTGGGGAGGAAAGCAGGATCTGTGGCAGAACTCGTGCATGCAAAGTGCAGAGCGCCATGCCAGGCTGTGAGCTCTGTGTTTTCATTGCAATCTGCATTGGGAAGCTTATTCTGCCAAAACTTTGGGCGTGGGCCATGTGATGAATGTTCAAGTTTAACCCGGCAGGTCTCCTATGTGCTAGACAAGTGCCCTAACCATCACAACGTAGGCATGTCCTTACAGGGGTGGCATATGGCTTAGGCATGCTCAGAGCCTCCTGGTGAGACAGGCAGGGGAAGCCCTATTTGTGAATCCCACTTCCAGATTTCAGGGCTTCAGTTTACCCTCAGGCTCCAAGCAGCTCGTTAGCAGGGAGGGCTTTGCACATGTCAGCAGCATTGAAGTGGTGGATTTAGCTACCTAAAGAGGCAGGTGGGTGCCCAGGTACCTTGGAGAATCTGGTTTTAGGAGCCTGGTTGCAGAGAAGGGCTTGCTACACCCGCAGTGCACCATGCCATGCAAGAAGACCCAGGAGCTTGATGCTGGTCGGATGGGAAGTGGTGTGAGCAGTGACATGGGGACAAGCCCCAGACCCCATTGTGACTCAGTGGTGCTTACTGCGTGGAAATAGGGCTGATCTCCCATCCCACTCGTGCTCAGATGTGCTTCCACCAGTGCAATGTGTCTGGTCTTTCAGACTCAGCCCAGTCACCAGGGAAGGGGGGAGTGGGTACAAGACCCAGCACGTCCTCTAAACCCACCCCACTGATAGCTAACGTGGAAAGATGATCACTGGCGATAGCTCAAGTGGAAAGATGATCGCTAGTGGAAATCACCCATGGGCTCCTAAAAAAACAATGGGCCCTTTTTTCCCATTGGGACACTACTGCCATGTCAACACACCCCAGATGTCACAATGCCCCACACAGGGTCCTCTGATTTCTTAGGGAATGATGTTTTCTGCCATCTTGCTGGTGAGGATTTCATCCAGGACACGTGAAGACAGCTATATGAGCAGTCTCTCTCTTTTTTTTTCCTGGGAACTGAGATGAAAACCTTTTACTGGAAGACCACTGAGGACTGCAAATTTCCCCCTGCCCCGAGAGATCTCTGGGAAATGACCCGTCTCTGTCAGCAAGCAAAACTACCCTTTCCTGACCTTCCTAGCAGCGGATGTGGTTTAATAAAAGTGTTAAAATTGCTTAAAACCCCACTGAGTGTCCAGTGATTCAGGACCCACTGGCTTTACTGGAAGTAACCCTGCGGGCTCATGGTGTCCATTGGAGATTGAAACACTGGGTCCTACTAGAGAGAGCTTTACAGGTGCTAGGGTGGTTGCATGCACCATGTTCATCTCGAGAAGAAGAGCAGCATCGAAGATAGCAGCTTGCTACCAGCCAAGAGCTGATACAAGCGGCAGAGAGCCCTGCTTTCCTATGTAAAGCAACGCTGCCGTCAGTCTGTGCTGGGTGGTGTTTCGTACAAATCCACTCAAGGCAGTTGAGTAGTGAATATATTACTTCTTATTAGCAACTGGCAGTGTTCATGATTCAGTGCAGATATATAACACACGTGGAAAAAGCCCTGGGAGGACACTGAACGCCCATGCTCTAACAACAGCGTGATTGCATTGGGTTGCACTACCATGCTGTCGCACCACCTTTTGGCACATGCGAACCAAAACCAACACAAAACGTGTGCTTTAAATTGTCAGCCAAGTGAAAGCCACTTCTCTGCAGGGAAGTTAAAAGGAAAGAAGCTTTCTTCCAAGTGATCTTTAAATCATACTTTGTACGGACATAGAGCATTTCTTCCATGGACCATAAAGCACCCTTTGAAACACGGCATTTCCCAGAAGGGGAAACTGCAGCACAAAGTGCGGGGGGTGACTTGCCCAGGATCTCCCATCTGGGACTAGTTAATGATTCACTTCTGAGTCAGAGCTAGGCGTATGAATGGGGCAGAAGCAGAGTTGTTGCTAAACCAAAAAGCCCTAAGCAGGACCCATGGAAGATGCTGAGTTTTGAGCAATAGGTGTGTTAACCTGTGCAACCGTGCGCTGTGCTCCAGCGTGCATGTGATGAATGCACTGGCATGATGAACATGCGTATACACAATGTGTGTGGGACTGTTGTGTTGGGACACTGAAGGAAGACCATGCAGGGCATGGGCAGACCTACCTTACAGCGAGTTAAACCTAGGTATTCCTTGGGCTGCGTTATCTTTATTTACAAGACCTCTAAGACCGACAGCTTCCAGGGGCCTTTATCCACTTTGCTAGCACCGTCTTATCCCTTGTTCGAACAAAGGGGCTGAGCAAGGTTCAGACCCTTCTGCTCAGGGGATCATGTTCCACCACTGGAAGGAGAAGGGTTTACGGAGGACGTTGGTGCCGCAGTGGACATCCCCTTCCAGCTCAAAGTAGGAGAAGAAGTCATTGATGAAGGTGCAGGTCAGGCCCAGCGGCTCCAGCAAGGAGCGGACCTTCTCTTCCAGGCAGCACTGCCCGTCGACGATGGGCCCAAAAGGCTTGGGGATGCCCAGGTGTGTCCCCAAGACGACCAAGTTCACCTGCAGCCAGAAGAGAGGGGACGGGATGGAGCACGAAAGAGGCAAACAAGGCTTCGCTCCAGCGTGCTACCACCCCACGTGCTACACGTATCTTCTCAACCTTTCAGCAGAGGTCTTATCATGTGGGAAAGCCAGGAAAGAAAGCACAGTATGGACGAGAAGGGAGCTTGGCAGAGATGCAGAACAGGACAGAGAAGCAGAGGGGCGAGGAAGAGGAAGGGGCAGGTCAGGGAGGGAGCTGGTTCAGCCCCTTCGGGAGTCCCCTTTCCTGCTCACCAGGTTTGGGAAGAAGGCATCTGCAAAGGAGTTTCTCAGCACAAACAGCTGTGGGATGTCGATGATGTCTTCCTCGCTCAGTCCCAGCTCCTGCTTCAGGATTTTTCGATTCCAGTCAATGCAGTTCTGGAGACAAGGAGTTTGGAGAGGAAACAGGTGCCACGGGCAGCCGTGGGCACAAGGAAGGGGGCTGAGGCGGTGCATTTCTTTGGATAGTGAAATACAGCGATGAGCACTGAGGTCTTTGTGGGATGGGAAGCCACCCGGGTAAGTCAATGCATCTCCTCCCTTCCCAGCTCCTGGGGCACCTATCGTGCCCCTTCCAGATGCTGTCAGTGTTGTCCCATTCCCACCCTGGTACCGGGTGGCCCAGTGTGGCCATAAGGAAGGGATACTTATGATCCGGGGACCACTGTGCTCTATGGAAAGACCCCCTTTGCCTGCCCTGATCTCCTGTCTGAGGCTGTGCCGAGCCGTGCTCTCCGCTGCTCCGTGCAGTGCTCCCTCCGGTGACTTTCTACCCGTGCTTCCCCATCGCTCGCTGCAAGGCAGCCCCCGTTACGGACCGCTCTTGCAGCAATGCAGGCTGCAACTCGCCACCCGCTCACGGCCTCCCCTTTCTTCTCTAGCAAAATATTCCCTTCGACTGCCTCTTTGTGCACGTGGCTTTCGGGCAGAGGAGAGGTTTGCCAAGGGGCTAATTGGAGAACGCTAATTTGCCCAGAGGCTAATTGGAAAGCAGAGGTTTGCCAAGGCGCTAATTGGAGGAGGCTGTTCAGAAACTCTGGACTTTCAAAAACCTTGGACGTTCAGAAACTCTGGACTTTCCAAAGAGTCTCCCTGTGTTTTTTTTGTGCAGCTGGCTCTTGAAGCACAGCTTCGCCTTTGCTTTATTGAACAGGCTGCTGCGAGATTTAGCACCCACTTTTCCGATGCAGGGAATGGCTCCACCTCTAGCTCAAATCAGTTGGGCAGCCTGAAATCTGGTTTCTTCAGGGCCTGGGGCTGTTTCAGCCAGGGTGAGATCCAAAAATGTGGCATGATTCAGTTTAGATCGCTCCTTTGCTGGATCTTTGAGCGTCACATATCTCACCCACCAAACCAATCTCCTTCGAGATGCCTACTGTACAAATGCCATCAGGTGCCCTGAGTACTCTTTGCTTGTTGGGAAACCCTACCTGTGCATATCTATTGCTCCTCCTCAGAGTCTCATTAGCCAGGATCTCATCTATTGTTATTATCGCCATACCCGCCAGCCCTGCAATAAGAAGAGCTTATGAACTCCAAGGCCACCAGACAGGTTCGTCGAGGCCAAATACCTTCCAGCCGAGCCCCTCACCAGTGAACTGAGCGGCGTCTCCATGACCCTGTTGCTGCTTCTCCTCGAACAGCTGGTAGCAGGCTCTGGGACTGCCTAAGAGCAGCCGGAAACCCTGAATGGAGAGAGACAGAGTCAGGGCAGGGGTATCGGCACCTGCTCTCATGCAACCGGGGCAAAAAGGGCACCACAGAGATACCAACAGAGGTATTGGTGCCTGTTCTCATGCAACTGGGGCAAAAAAGAGCACCACAGAGATACCAACACGGGTATCAGCACCTGCTCTCATGCAACTGAGGCAAAAAAGGGCACCAAAGAGATACCAACTCCAAGCTCCAGCAGAGAAGGACATGGAGGTGGCAGCCAGGACACTTGGCTCTGCTGTTGGGTGAAAATGGGGAAGCCATTCCCCCTCTCTGGGTCTGTTTCCCCTCCATGCAACTTCTAAACTGCAAATGGTTTGGGGACTGGGACCGTCTATCAGTTGATGTGGGCATCCCAGCAGCAGACCCACAGAGCCCGGTGGCAGGAGAAAGGCAAGCATGTCCCCTCCGCTCAGCAGCTGCAGAGAGGAGCTCCCAGGGTTTGTCCAATTCACTCCCCATCCAGGACTACAGTGCTCCTAGGGTGCAGCAGGGCTCCAGGCTCCCTGCCCCGAAGCCAGGAGTCAGTACTAGGTCTCACCTGGAAGCCTTGAGACTCATTGCTTGAGCCGTGGCTCTCGGGGCTTGTAGCCCCCACTCCTGCAGACCCGGGATCCTACGCTCTGACAGCCCTGGCGATAGCAGGGTCTCCCAGAAATGACAGTGCCCAATGCCACGGCAGAGCTGCAAGCCTTATGTAGAGCTCTTACATTCACGGCAAGGAGCTGAAAGCCACGGGGTGCCCCACGACACCAGAGCCACGGTCCCTGGGATCCCATCCCATCTGAGGCTTGTGTCTCTAGACTCCCTGCTGGGAAACTGGGAGCTCCCAGGTGCAGGCCAAGGGAGCGTGGAGGTCCTGCCATGCCTGGCTGCTGAGAGTCTCAGGACTCCTTTAGACTCCCCAGAAGCTGAGGCAAACATTTCAGTCTCAGCAAAGCAGCTTTGTCTAATGAAAAACAATTGCGTTAGAAGATTTGCTGCTGCTTCTAGCTTGGGCTGCACAAGATACCAGCAAGACACTGATAACAGAGACAGTGAGATTTGCTTCTAAAATGTTTCAGACACTGCTCTCTGTTTAAGTGAGCCCGTGTGTGCCATCTCAAACAGACCACGTCGCCTTTCTGTGCCTCAGTTTTCCTTGTCTGTAAAACTGACCATATATACCCAGCTAAGAGAGAAGTTTCTAGGGATCTCTGCTTAGCTAATGTTTATAGAGAAATGCCTCAGATGAAAGATGGGAGTCAGAGCCTGGAGAGGATTTTACAGACAAGAATACGATTGATAGTATATCTGCATGGTGTGGTCTGCTATGAACTGCAAGGATGCAGGCTCTTCAACCATTGCGGGCACATGCAGCCCATGACTCTTCTCCTCTATTGGTGGGGCTAGGAGTCAGGAGACTGCAGGTTGTGTTCCCAGCTCTTCCCCTGACTTACACCACGACTTGGGCAGCTCATGTTCCTTCCCTGCACCCAGTTTTTCCACCTCAACTCCCTGCCAGCCTTTGCAAAGTGCCTCCGCATCTGCAGAAGACAAATGCCATCTGACAGGGTGCGAGGAAGGAGTGGCGAGCCTGCCACCCTGGGCACGGTACCTTCCTATCGGAGGCTGGGACAAAAGTCAGGAACTCGTCCACGTGTCCCACGGTCAGCCAGTCTGAGTAGACCTCCACCGGGGGCTGCACCGCCTGGGCGTAGAGGAAGTCTCGGATCACCTTCGCCATCCTCCTGCCGCCAGACCTAACGATGCAGAAGAGAAAGGGGGTGGAGAACACAACGGGTGGTCTAATGAGCGAACAGCATTTTAAATAAGTACTCGCCCATGTTAATGCTCCCGTCCCCGGGAATATTAGCAGCACCAGCAGGACTCAAAGGGCCACGGGCTGCATCCAGCAAGTAACTCCGCTGAGCAAAGGGATGTGCTGTGACCAGGGGGAGAAATGTTCTCCGTACTGCCTTAGTCTGCGCTCCCTGATACAACCTCCACCGGAAAGGATGAGTCCGGTCGCACGACCCATAGGCCTCCGCATCCTCTCCATGTCTCACTCCCCTGTGTGTTGTCAGGTTTCTTTGAACCACGAACCCACTCTGCTCCCAGTCCCAGGAGGTCCCTCCATGGCTGGAGATGTAGGATCCACCCATAATTAAGCGATCCAAGGCCAGTTATTTAGGGTTTTGATTTTTCTTGGTTGGTTCTGAAGCATGGCCAGGTGACCCTCTCCCCACGCGTTGTAAAATTGGGATTGGTTTTGGGTCAAAGTAGTTCCCGGCATTTTATTTATTACATTTTTAAAGCTCTTTCATCTGAGGGCCTGGCCATTTTCGACCGGTATAAGGAGTCTTTCTGCTGGTGAAAGCAAGGAGACAGAGCTCTACACTGGGATCCATTGTAATGCTTTCCCCAGGAAACAATCAGGTATAAAATAATACTAGTATATTTAACGCTGTTATAGCCAGTGTCTGTCAGCCTCCACTGCGGGGTAGTCGTTTGCTCGGTGCAATTAGGCTGCAACCCGCCTCCTTTGCCATCAATTCCACAGTGCTATAATTACAGCGCCTGCAGTTCTCTCCTCCATAAAGCAGGTCAAAGGCTTCATTTAATTAGTTAGCTGGAGGGTTTACTAATGATTTGTAAGGCCTAAGTATTATACAACGTCCACCGGAAGATCTCGATATGTTTTCGAGCTTTTCAGGAAGGCTCATAATATATTCCACAATAGGAGGTAACTGTTCCCCTTGCACACAGTGAGAAACCTGAGGCCCTGCCTGGCGAAAGGAGCTGCCTAAGGTCTCTGCAAGTCAGCAAAGAGGCTGCAACTAGATCTCAGGGGTCCAACACCCGATCCGCTCGCTAAAGATCACTGCCAGATTTTTCCTGATAAAAGCAGCAAAAAGGCTCTGCCCCTTGCAGCCCTGTGCTCGTCTTCAGCATTTCCAAACGCCTGCCTGAGCCTGTTCTTTCAATGGTCTCTCCTTTAAGACCCCACGCTGGATTCGCATTGGGTTGTTTTGCTGTTTGTCTCGGTGAACAGACTCCTTTGTACACTAAAAGGGCTCTTTATCATGCTGCAGCCCTCTTGTTCTCGCTGAACAGCCTGGTACGGGCTGACTATAGCAGCTGCCGACGATAAGTTATCAGACTTCCTGTGCACGGTGAAACCATGTCCAGTTCCTCTAATCATTTAACCTTTTCTGAGTCATCAGGAAAAATATCAGGCTTGAATATCAGATCGCAACTGAAGAAGTCACTTTAACCTGTGCAAAAAGTGCTGGGTGTTAAAAACCAGAGCATTGGCACTCGACTCTCGCTGCTCATTTATTCATAGGGCAGAGACACGGAGAGCTGGGCCAACAGATTCCCCATTTTAAATACGATCTCTATCAAAATAGATCAGAGCAGAGTTTCAGCGATTTTTTTTTCTTCTGGATGAGAAATGTCAGGCCACATGCCATAGGTCCTGTCCATGCTAGTGGTCTCTCCAAAAATCAATGGACCAATTCAAACAAGCATTTTCAAGAGTAAGGCAGCATTGCAGAATCGGTCCTGGGTCCATTTCTGGACCGTTCCTGCATTCGGCAGAGCCCAGATCAGAGATTTTGGCTTGAGCTGCTGCCAGATCACGAAGCTCGGCTCCAGAATCTGGCCCTTTCTCTAGCTAGGATGTACGTCCTTGCTGGGGATCGTTCAGCAGGATTTTTCCTCCAGTTCTTGGTACAGTCACAGGTGTCTTCTTAAAAGGAGCTCCCGGCAGCCGTTGAGAGCTTGGTTTCGTATCCTCACAGCCCACATTGCTTCCTTTGTAGGATAAAAAACGTTTCCTGATACGACGTGCAGAGATGCTCTTCTCTCTCCGTGTAACTAAAGATCAAGGGACGGTCACTTCTTCTTGCACTTCTGCTCTTGTCTTCTCAGCCTTCTCTTACCAAGATGTCCTTGCTGCAGAGGCTAAAATCCCTTTGGAGGTTGCTAACAGTGCCCCGAAACTTGTCTAACATCTCTCCCAATAGTACAATTGGCCCAGTGAAAGGTATACCCCAAAGACCCTTGCTTCTTGCTAATGAAGACAGACGGACAGGCTCACTTTGACTGGTTTCCTTGGACCCGCCGGTGCTGCTGGGAGATGCTCTTCTCCAACCCAGCACAACCTCAAGGTCCTATTAAATGTGGGCTCTCCAGGAGCCTTCCAGTTACTCCTGGTCCTGAACAGGACCAGATGATGCTCTTCACCTGCCACTAGCATTTCCTTCAAGCCACGTTCACCCATCCCATGCTCCAGAGTCAGCCAGCTTTGAGGATAGCTTGTACCTAGGGCTGAGAATCCAAGCTCACCTTGTTCGGCGGCCCAAGTCCCTTGAAATGCGTTCAGCTGGGTTTGGGGAAACCCTTGGACAAGGGATATGGTGTGATCCTGTTACATGGGCAGTGCAGCATTTAGGGGTCGCGCAGTGCTTATGTGCACAGTGTCAGGTCCCAAGCGGCTGTGTAACAGGAGCACAGCGCTGCCAGGATCAGTCCCTAACGCCCCGCACGACATACTTTTCAAGGCAGGCAGATGAAGAGCGCTTCAATTCCTGAAGCTTCTTTAATGTCTTTCTGCAGAAAGCAAACAATAAATTGCTTAACGAGAGCAAAGCTGCTGCTTTGTTGATAAGACGTTCGAAGGCTTGAAGTAGCTGAAGTAACAGGAAAGAAAGATATGTATGTGCCATGCTCTCTGCTCTTCCCCTGAGTATATCAGCAACTCGGCAGCGAGCTCTCGGCCCTCTGTCTGGGGGTGATAGGCCATTCTGCTGGTGTCGTGGCATGAGCTGTTAACCGACCTGCATTGCTCCTGTTTCCCATCCATCACCATCTCCCCATTCAGGAGCTTTCACCGTTGCTCTTTGGTACCTTCAGCTGCACCTTCGATCCTGCCTCCCATGGGGACTGCCCACGTAGCCCAACCGGGAACGCGCTCCTGCTCCTCACCTGGGGAAGCTGCTTCCAATAAGGATCCTCCCCAAGGGATATTCCTTCCCTTGGACCGTCACGGGAGGGCTGACGTCCAGGTTCCCAAAGGAATCGAGGCCGGACACCTGACTTTTGGGAGGCTCTCGGGTCACATAGCCAAAATCGGGGCCCTTGCAGGGAACAAAGTAACACAAGTCAACCAGCAAGTCCTCCAGCAAAGCAATCTGTAAGGCTGAGGATATGCCCATGCTCCAGCTGGCAGCACCGTGGCAGGCAGGGGTGCAATCCCTGACTGCCAGTGCTGTGTCTCAGGCGTGGAGGGAATAAGGGGCTACTAAGCCCAACCACCCATGAGCAGGTCAGGCTAGACAAACACATGAGAACGAGCCAAACAAATGAGTGTTAGCTGCCCCCCAGGCATTGCAATGGGCCCTAGCATAGGTGATATAATAAATATCAGCAGGTTCAAACTCCTCACCTCTGTCTGACTCATCGTGGCCTCCACCAGACACATCATTGCCTTTTCTTGGGAAGGGAGGATTTGCAAATCATGCATGAAGGCAAATATACCCCGAAGATAGGACTGCTCCCAGGCCTCTGATTTTTAAAACATAGGAGCAAAGCAAAGCAAGTCTGCAGCTGGCTGCTGCTTCTTGCTGTACGTGCGGTTGATCTTTGCTCCAATGAAGTGAGCTGGTACCTTTCAAATGCCTTTTGTATGAACCTGTGGGTATCGGTATAACCCCTCAGGCTCTGGTCCTTGCTGGTGAATGGCTCCAAGAGAGTCGAACAGAGATTTCTTTTCCAATTAATAACTAATGCAAAGGGCAGAGGCCCTGGGGGGACGTAGGCGGTGTGGCTAAGAAGCTGTTACCCAAGGAAGACCCTCCTGCGGAGTGAGTAATTTCAAGGCCCAACACGAGTGAAGCTTGAAGTGAGATACCAGTGGCTCCCTCAGGCATCAAGCCATGTTGTCCCATTGAAACCAGTGGGATGACTTCACTGAAAACCAGGTGTGAACAAAGGGGGAAGCTGCCTTGTGCAGGACTTTTCCCTGAGGCCGTAGAGAAGTGGTTGTCTACTCTTACAGCTATGAAATCCTTTCTTGTCTGCACTGTAATTAATGCAGGTCTGATGCCACTTCTGCATTTGGATAATATGATCCACGCATTGTAGACCTCCAGCGAGAAATAAATGCACAAAAAAATCCCACGGAGAGACCTCAAAAGAAGCAAGCATTGCCTCTCGGAGGCAATTAGGGTTGCTGGTTGTATCCATGCTGGTCTAAGGACACAGGCAGGCACGGTTTTTTGCGTAGATGTGATATCTCTTATTAGATTATATTTTTCCAACAATTTAGCTGGTTTAAAAAAAGATATCATGTCTACCTCTCTGAGGCAGTGTGGCTCAAGAGGTTTTGGTGGCACCATGGACTAGTTCACCCACGGACTGTCAGGAAAGCTGATCCAAATTAACTGTGGGTGTGAATTTAAAGTGCTTTTGGGACTCTATTCAGCCCACATGTGGCAGTTCTCATTCAGAATTAAAGTGGCCTTAGCATTTGATTAGCTTAATTCACTTCCATTCATTTAATTGACTTCCAAAGTAAATTAAGAAGAAACAAATTAAAGCCACTCTCATTCTAATGAAAGCAACTACCTGGGGATTTATTGTGGGTGGTTTAATGCACTTCCAGCAAGACTGACTTTCTCGAGTATCTCTAGGCAGGCCGGCTCTGGGAGCTGAATGTCATCTCACTATCTTGTCCCAGAGAAAATGTAAAGATGCACACACCAAAATCCTCCGCAGGGGAAAATTCTGCAGGCCTCGGTTTCTAGGAGAGTCAAAGACCACAGGGAATAATTTGTGGGGGGCTTCCACGTAGCCAAACTCCAGCTCATCCTGTTATAAGAAGAAAGAGAGGCAAGGTAGTTGCGATAGCAGTCACTGAGCGGAGAGCTTGGGGGTGGGTGTGGGTACATGAGGCTGTGAACCTACTTCTTCCCCTCGGGGCTGTGCTACCTAAACAACTACTGACGGACAGGAAATGGAATCGCTGAAGGGGAAATGGTCTCTCTTTCCTCCACCACCTGGGAAATGATACGTGGGGCAATGCCACCGTGCTCTGAAAGTGTGCAAGCCGAGACTGCGGCCTGGGTTGGTCTGGTATTTGCATTCCCAGCTCCCCCGCTGCTTTGTTTTGTGTCCTTGGTCAAGTCACTTCCCCTCCTCGTGCCTCAGTTCCCCCATTTGCAAAAGTGACGTCGTGGTGCCCCCCGAGCACGTTGAGGTCTCTGGATGGAAAGCATCACAGAGGAGCCACAATTATTCATCCACTACCTGGATCCATCGGTCACTCCGGTTTTCCAGCTGAGGGCAGACGGTCAGCTTGCAGTTGGCTTTCCTCACCAGGGCGCTCATGGCACTCAGGAAGTCCACATTAGGGTTTGCACCACTCTCGATGCTGGCAGGAAAATAAAAAATCAAGAGTGGGAACTAAAAGCAGCAGCAGAGTGATTTCTTAATGGCAAGGCAGCCACAGAAATCCCTGAGAGAGAGACAAGCTGTGCCCTAAGCATCTGTTCACAGGCTCTTCTGCTTAGTTTGCTCTATGTCACGGGTGAGGGTAGTACTCACATGGTGCGCCTACATGTTCATTAACACGCAGTAGTTACTGCACATTTAATTTAGTACTTGCTTAATGAAGTTTGCAAGTGCCAGTGCATGATTTTTTTAGTGACACTTACTGCACAGTAGCCTAATACTACTACTACGCAGTGTATTAGTGCAGTTTTTGCCAGGCACACTACTGCACAGTGTTATTAGGCTACTGCACATTAAGCTTCTCATGTAGACATGCGCACAGAGGGCTAAACCTCCCAGAGCAATAGCTCTACGCATGGGACCTTGATCCTTTTCCCATTTCAACCAATAGCAAAGTTCCCATTGATTTAAACAGGATCCTATCTCACCTCATCACCATTTTACTAGGGCACAAGTCAGCAGACACTTAGCCGGTATAAAGGAGAAGCATCCCCTGCTCTCTTGGGAGCTCATATATGACTCTCTCCAGGCTCCTGGGATGCATGAATTGCCCTGCCACAGGCAAAGGTGATGGGGTGTATGGGAAGGAACAGCCTGTACCATGCTAGCAACTTTCTATAGGTCATTCGTAGGATTTGAACCTGGCATCTTAGCATGCAACTATGGGGCTTGACCTAAAGGAGCCCACCTGTTAGTTGGTAGCAGTGGTAGGCTGTTATCTGCTAGGCAGGCCATTGTGTGGAGAGATGTACCATGCACACATTCCCCTCGTCTTCTTTAGAGCTGCAGAAAGCAGTGTGACAACAAGCTACCCCCGGTGACATCCCTCTTACCTGCAGACAAAAACCTCCAGAGGCTGCAGCGTGTTTGGCGTCATTATCCACGGGGACACCCGGAAGACCACCGTGTCTGTGAAAATTGGAGTGTCTGGAAAACCCTAGGGGCGACAAGAGGCCAAATAATGCTCACGAGTAACCTCCAGTCCCTGGGATAGCAGCAGAGCTTGGCCTCTAAATGCCCAGACCTAGACACAGATGGATCTGCAATTCCCTAGCCCCATACACAGCTGCTGGCTGACGATATGGCACTGCTAGATGACAGCCCCATGCCCCGCGCTGTGTGCTGCCTACCTCCGATACAAGGCTCCTCAAGCAGGGACAAGGCTTAAGGGGGAGTCGTTGCCCCTTACGGAAGTGATGAGCATTTGCAGCAGAGGACTGAGAGCCTCTTGCAACAAAACACCCTTGATTATGTCTTTGCAATTAAAGGGGTCACCATAGAGCCTGACCGATGGCTGTCACTTCTCCCACTGCAGCCGCCTCCATACAGGGCAGTCCTGTGCTGACTTTTCCTTACCCTTGGATGGTCTAATTGGAGCCTTGTGGTCTGTCTGAAGCCCTGTTCCTGTGGCAGGGGTACCTAGGAGCATGGCCTATCATAATGGCAATGCTCTTGGTCTACGTTTTCTCATGCTTGGTCTACGTCTTCCCACCATCCTTCCACTGGGTTAAGGGCTGCAGCCAAGGGACGTGTTTTTGGCTCTCCCCATAGTCCTAGAGTCTGTCGTACCTCATTGGAGACCTCTAGCAGCATGACACTGAAGGAAACCAGCCCAGAGAAGTCCTGGTCTGGGAAGGCCAGTCCCTCTACATAGAAGGTAATCTCCTGTCTGCTGGCATGGTCCACTGCATAGGAGAGCTTGTCTGGTCCCAGAACGGGCTTGTACTGGTAGTAGGAGTCATTGCCTGTGCACACAAAGGAATACATGCCATTGTGTTGAAGAGGCAGCGGGGGTAAGATAGGAAGGGGTGGCACATGCAAGGATGGGAGACTCTCCTGTATTCTCCAGGGTATAATGCATTGCTCACTATTCTCCTTGCAAAAAAAAGAAAAGGGATGCACACCCATGAGCCATTTTTTCCAAGATACTAAATCCATATTCAGGACATTAAATACATGGCCTGATTTTCAGTATGAAGTGCCAGGGCTCAGCTATTTATTTAGGCACGTAAATATAAACCTGTTCCCTGCTAAATCTCTGACTCCAATATAATGGCCTGGGCCCAAGATGATAATGGAGGGGTTGGCGGTGCCAGGGTTAGACCCTGGGGAAGTCTGGCTGCCGTGTTCTTGCTTTCTCAGCTCACACTGCCTCACCTGCTCTCCAGCTTGTCCTGCAAAGCACATTCGTATCATGATTTAGTGACAAAGCAGGGGATGGTGGCAATCGCATGGCACGGCAATGTGCAATGATGTTTCCTCTGCTCCTCTTTACAACAGAAACCTGGCTCTGTGTGCATTTTGGCCTTCCCTGTGTACACTTGGAGATGGCAACTGTAACGTCAAACCTAAGTCATCATCTGAGATGATCCAGTCTGAAAAGCAGGTCTCCCCTTCTGAAATTTCAGCAGGCTGCTTCACACAAAGCATGTATTCATTTTTTTTTTAAATAACCCAAGTTACTGATAACCCAATAGCCTAAACGAGCGAAAGCAAAAGAATTCAGAGGAGCTCAGAAGCCAGGAAATACCTTTGAAATCAAAGACCATCAGCCCCTCGCTGTATGGGAACAATGAAAGAAAGGAGCAGGAAAGTAAAATGAAATGAGATGTGAACAGAGTGAGTCAGAGCCTCAGAAACCAGAGACAGCTATATCAGCTACAGAGAAGTGGAGATTTATACTGCCTGACCTTTCAGTTTTGCAAATGCCCGACAGGTGGGGTGGTGCTATGGTTAAATTACTAGACCAAGGCTCCTAAGGCATGAATCTTTGCTCCAGTCTTGCTGTGGGACCTTGAGCATGACTCTGGGCCAAGAGTGCAAAACTTTTGCTTGGGCTGGTGGCTGGCTGCTCCTCTGAGGACTTCCCCTGACTTCCATACAACTACCGGCACGAGTAACTGCGCTCCCTGGGGTCAAAGCTTTTCCAGTTGGGTCCTTTATCAGTTGAAGCTGGAGTTTGCCGAACAACTGAAGGTCACCGTACCTATTGACTTCCACGGGAGGAAGGTCATGTAGGTGCTTTTGAGTGTCACAACCCACCTACATTGATCCCCACCTACACTTATGTATGGAGTTGAGGACCTTTGATATTGTGCAGTCAGCAGATGGGACGAAGCACTCACCGGCAGCATGGAAAACTCTCACTTTATCAGCCTCAGACGCGGGGACCTGAAGAACCAATTTGTTTTCAGCAAAAAGGGCACTGGGGCCTTGCGTTCGCAGTATCATAATTGACATATCCTGAAGATCTAGGAAAGAGGAGAGTCAAAGGTGGGGGTCTTGAGTCCTGTGACCTGTTGAGGCTTCCAACCTCATGCCTTGAAAGTTTGGGCTTTTTCCCCCATACTCATGTGTAGACAGAGCTTACTTGGCTAAGTTGCATGATCTGATTGCAGCGTTGTATATACCTGTAATATTGTGCCCATGGTGTTATAGATCCGCATGGATCTGTACAGAGGAGGACAGCAGGCCCTCATTTAGGCACCACTCGACAAAGGAGAGAGGGAATGGGAATGGCTGAGATGCCTATTTCTTTTGGAAGGAGATGGGGAAATGGTTTTGCTCAGGATTGGGAGGGCGCAAAGAAGTTTCTTATGAAAATGAAAGCTTTCCAAGTTTCTTATGAAAATGAAATTCTTCTTATGAGGCTGTGAGATTAAGGCTTTAGATGTTCCTCCACTTCCCATCACTTCATCCTAGGACTCTGCATACATAATCCCTCCCTGCAGAAACTTTTCATGCTCCTATATTTTTTTCTACGCGTTTTCCCCCACTTCCATCTCCAGCAACTTTAAATCTCATGCAGGGGCAGGGTTGTGACTGATCCTTATATATGAATAAGTGAAATCTGCTTCCGCACATTCCAGCAAGCAAACATTTATTTTCTGTCCATTCCCAGCTGCAGCAAACTAGCAAATTGGTGGATCTCATGCGTGCCAGCGGTATCCTACTCTCACTGCAGGCTCTAGCCCCCAGAAGCAAAAGACTGGTGGACATGGGCAGGTGCATGAGAGACAGGAGACAATGGTCAATTCAGAAGGTCATTTTGGGTCTCCACCTGCTCACAGGGACAGTACACAATGCATGAAAATCGAAATCGGGTCTACATCTGGCTCCGTTTGACCTTCACTGTTCCCCCCACACCCAAGTGAGAGCAAAGCCCTTGCCCAGGGAGTACCTGCGTAGGATTGCACGCGTGGGTGAGTGTTGTCCGTGCCCCCGGAGCCCAGGCTGTCCCTGTCACAGTTCACTAACAGCACGGCTCCGTGCCCATCAGGGCCCCATGTCCATTTTGTCTGTTGAGGAAACACAAAGGAAACTGGAACAGAAGCCGAACAGGCTGGCGGGCTTGAAGTCCTTATAGCACCTCCAGCAACAGCCACGGTGACAAGAAGGTGATGATCTGCCAAGCTGGGGAGAAGAGGGGCATCGTCGTGTCCATACAGCCATCTCCAAGGCTGCACCACATGAGAAAATCCTATAAACCACTTCCAGACTTGGAGGATGCATCTTTAACATGCCCTAGCTAGTGTGCTTTAAAATCCTATTGCAGAGAAGTTGTAATTTTAACCAAATAGGTTTAGCCAAACCACCCAGCATATTAAAACTACATGGCTTATACCGTGGGTAAAGTCCACTGCGATCATCTCATCTGACACAGTCCATGGGACTTCTTTAAACCTTGTTTGGACTAGTGCAGATCTTTTTTTATATACATCCCAAAAGGATGGAAAGTTTCTCAGAGTTAGAGCATCCACCACAAACCTCAGGCAATTCTTCTAGCAGATAATTACGGCTAATCTACACTAGGATTCAAATATTTAATAGAATTAGAAAGTTAGGATTGCAAGAGACCTCAGGAGGTCATCTTGTCCAACCCCGTTAATTAATATACATAACAATAATTAACATACATTCTTCTCCCTGTGCTTTCTTAGAGTAGGATGAGGGTGACTCTACACCCATATTCCATGATAAAACCCCACAACAAGCTGGAAACACAGAAACTCAGCTTCAAAGGGGTCACTTGTTATTACTTGCAAAACCCCAGGACTGATTCAGTCCCTAGCACATTCCAAGTTCACTGGAAGAACAAAAAAGCCAAATTTCTTCTCTCTTATGCAGCTGATGCTATCCTGACCTCAATGGGACGGCATGGGAGTAACAGGAGACGATGGCTCAGAGCCGGTGGTCTGGTTTCATAGACGGGCTGGCAGGGCAAGGAGAAGTAAATGGTGAGACCCAGCTAGGTTCAGCATTCAACCAGTCCTGCCTCCTTTCTCCCTTTGCCAGTGTCATCCTCTGGTTGCTAGTGTCCTTTGGGGAAGGGAAAATGTGGGGGCTTGCATAAAAATATGATGCCCATCTCTTTACCTTCTCTGCTTCACTGCTCTCCACCACCCCGGTGCGGTTTGTGTCGGTGTCCAGAGAAACACCTGAAAGATCAGAGGGAGCAAAGAAAGCCACCAGCCCCGGGTGGCAAGAGGATGAGCACACTCAATGCAGGTCTGTCTCAACTGTATCCTCAACACTTGCCCTCCGTAGCGGGTTGTTAGCACCAACTCCCTCATCCTGCATTCACACAACGAGCTTTGAGCAGGAGGTGATATCTCTGCCCAGAATCTCTGTCTTAAAGCCTTTTCCTGCTGCCTCCTGCCTTCACTTTCTCTCTAGGTATCTCCTCCACTTTCAGCAAGAAGATCCCAGGCAAGCAGTTTAATGCATTCCTTATCGTCTTTACCCGTCTCTCGGATATCTGCATTTGGCTACTGGAGGAAGGCCACAGAGGGTGGAGGAAGGAGGAGTGTTTTCAGTGTGGGTACGGAGACATCAAAACTTTACTTGTGGTGAAGAAATACTGTAGAAGGCCAGAGCTGGTGGAGAAACGTCAGAGTGGGATGGAGCAAGTTACCGCCTTAGAAAAATAAGTCTCAGCCACCAAAGTCTTCTAAAAAACTGTACATCTAGTCTCCTACCCTGTCAAATGGCCTCATTGTCCACAGGACAGGGCCCTGGAACATTTTTTGGGTTGGGGCATGAGACAGCAGATGGCTTCTATGTGGTGTGAGATGAATATTGTAGCAATCTACCTTTTTCTTTCATCTACTTTGCTCTATGCTATTCAAAAGGAAGGGAGCAAAGTGCAGTCTCCTACGGTATGTACACACAGGGCGCGTCTACATGTGCACATTTATTGCACAGCAACTGAAATTACTGCACAGTACGGGTGTGTGTCTACTCGTGCATGCCTGTACTGCACAGTAAATATGGCAACTTATGCCGACTTGAGCGTAAATTTGAGACCTGCATGATGCAGGTTTCAAATTTATCCGTGTTTAGTTACTGCGCAATAACTCACGTGTAGACACCTTACTGTGCAGTAACTCTGTGTGTGTGGATTGACTTGGGACTAACTTTAGTCCCAAATCAGACCACATACAGCATTAATGTTCTTTAACACCTGCATGTGCAGATGCCAGGCTATTCCCGCTTACTGTGCAGTAGTTTACTGTGCAGTAAATTTAAGCCAGCATAAATGCACATGTAGACACACCGATAGAGGCCCTATGGGCAAATCCTTTTGCACCATTTGCTGAACAGAACAATGTTTGGGGGTAGCATTTGTTAATTGTATTTTGGCGGTTGTTTGTACAGTACTTACTGACACAGGTGAGGTACAACCAAGCGGTCTCTATAGGTTCATTGCCGTTCTCTCCATAGTATGAAATCCTAACCTGTGAAGACATTGTCCGGTCATTACCAGCCCCTACATGCCCCAGTGTCATGCTATGTTATATTTCTTGAGTAGGGTCTCTTGATTCGCTGGGCTGCCGTAGAGGTCATACCCAATATCTGGTGTGGTTGTGGGGCAGATGCATGGAGACCATCCTCCATAAATCTTAACAAACTGTAGGACCCTACTGCATTCTTCCAGCTGTTGAACATTGATCCCAAATAATAAAACCCCACTCTTGGATTAAGGACAAATTACCGGTAACCAACAAGCCCAGCGGAGTCTAAAAGGATTTTAGGCAAGACCCCAGGAAAGCGCTGATATACATCCAGGCCTCTAGCTGATGGAACAGAGTTTAGTCGAGGGGAAGCCAATTGCAGAGGTTTTGTGTCCTTTCTAGGCCAACAGGGGCTAAATGCAATGGGCCCATTGCCATAAGGACACTACCTAAGCAAAGGCAAAAAAGATGTTCCCACTTGTACTGCAGCCTGCACCAGCGGGAAGGATTCTGTCATCAGCCCCTGAAGACAACGAATTTTCAGCATCTTAACACTTGCTTGCTACATATAATCAGCCTGTTTCTATTCTGTGGATATTAATTACACAATTGTACTTAGCTCTGAGTCTATTCGGTCGAAGCTGTATGATGTCGGTGCTACCCTGATACAAAGCAATCTGTAATTGTGCAGCTGCTGGAGTGAACACAGCCCTTTATTTTGATTCTGAAAAGGGTTTTGAGTGATAATGTGACTTTTTTCAGGGCTGTCTCCTTACTCAGCAAGCGACTTACCTTATTATCATTGACGGTCTCGCTTGGAAAGTCCATGGTGATTGTGATCTCTATGTTAGCATCCAGAGGCCATCGTGTTTCGCTCATAGGTTCCTTCACAAAGTCATGGTTATAAATAATGTAGACCCTGACTCCGGAGGTACCATGGACGTCAAATGATGTGGCACCCCTTGGGATGGATCTGGAACAGATTGAGGAGCGCTCAGTTGCAGGCCCAGTTTTCCCTCCTAGACCTGCTATGTATACGCACAAGGATCCCTGTAGCATAGAGGATAACAATCACAGAGATGGCAGACATAAGATGAGCCCTGCCTGGGATTGACAAGTGAATGCTGGACTCTGCTCCATCGTAAATGCACGTGAATAATTATCATAGCGATCACGTAGCTGTAGACGCCTTGAGTGTCATGTTGGGTTTTTTGTTAAAATATCCAATTCCTGAACTAAGGAAGAAAGGAGTTGGAGCCTGTTCCAGTGCTTCACCACCTTCCCAGTGAGAAAGTTTTTCTTAATATCCAACCTCGACTTTCCTTGCTGCAACCCGAGCCCATTGCTCCTTGTCCTGTCATCTGCCCCCACGGAAAACAGCCCAGTTCCATCCTCTTTGCAGCCCCCCTGCAGGGAGGTGAAGGCTGCTATTCAATTCCCCCTCAGTCTTCTCTTCTGCAGACTAAATCAGCCCAGTTCCCTCTGCCTCTTCTCACAAGCCACGTGCCCCAGCCCTTGAACCATTTGCATTGCCCTTCACTGGACTCAGTCCAACTTGTGCACACCCCTTCTGTATTGGAGGCCCAAAATGAATGATGTAAATCATGTATAGGCCAAAACTGCCAAAACAGGATCTTCATCAGTCAATACCATGAGGATACACAGTCCCATCTCACTAAACACGGACATTATTAAACCGTGTTAACGCATGGGACCCTTCAGTCAAAGATGCTATTTAAGTGTAAAAGCACAGTCTGTCTAAAAGCAGTACCAGTATCTGGCATTTACTATACATAGCATCTCACGCTTTCTGAGCACCCTGCAACAGCTGATTAATCCATTAATTAACCCATTAACACCTACATGTGAAATTGGGAGGTATTTTGCTTGTGATTTCTATCATCCTGTCCTTACTCAGACAAAAATATGAACCACAAGAAAAATATTTAAGGGATTTATTTCCCACTTCCCGTGTGGGTTCCTGAAGCTGCTTGTAAAGAGGAATGAGTCTGTCACCGCTTGGCTGCCGCTGGAACTTGAATGGAGAAAACACAATAAATCTACCTGTAAACTTGTATAACTGCTTCTCCTCTTGTGCGTGGGGCTGTTGAAGTATAAACGTCAGATTTATTACATGCTGTTAGGCTAAGTACCCGGTGCTCCTGGTGCTAGCACAGAGGACTCGAGAAATGCTCAATGCCTGGAGGGAGAAACACGGACGCTTCTCCTCCTGCGCACGCGCTGCAGCCACAGGCTTTCTGTGCGAACTCTCTGTCTCTACCATGCTTATACGGACCCCTGTCATATCCAAGGGCTCTTTGTCATTCTTTCCCAGTGCAATTAGTACTGATTAACCGTGACTGTGATTGGAGATAATGGGGGTAGGAAGGAGGAGGGTACCTCTGAGATATATGGTTAACAGCTGGCTGGTGCAGAGTTATTCCAATTCCCTACTGCGTCCTGGGATCCAAGGACTTGCAACCTGTAACGTTCATGGGAAAATGAAGCAGGGAGATTGTGGCATCCTCTTTCCTGGAGGGTTTCAAGAAGAGGCCGGATAGGTATCAGTCTGGGATGGCTTAAAAGCAGCAAATCTGGCATCTGGGCAGGAAGCTGGACCAGATGGCTTCCAGCCAGGTCCCTCCCAACCTTATATTTCTATTACTTTGCAGTCTTAAGAGGCGGAAGAGAGGGTATACGCTGTGTGTATCCTTGCCTTGTCTTACAGCATTTCCTTGGGGAAGAAGGTGGTCCATTTACTCAGTGTCTGCCAGCCCGCACTTCGTAGGGGTGGACAAAGCCACCAGTGAGGGCAAAAGTTGCCAGTGGGTAAATCCACTGCCAGGACACGGACTGGGCACGCGCTCTGTTTCCAGAGCCAAAGATCAACATTAATGCATCACCTCCAGCCTTCCCCCAGTGCTGATCACCTGAAGTCAAGTCCTCACGCCCACAAATGGGTTCCAGCGACCATTTTTGCTCCTCTACAGTAATATGGTACCCACTTGTAAATGCTGACATTTCAGCGGCAATCATCTTATCACATAGGCTACAAGCTGTTTGGAGAGCACCAGTCTTTTGTTCGGTCTTTGTAGAGCCCCTTGCACCACTGGATCCTGGTCTATACTATGGAGTCCTTGGACTACAACAGTATAAAGACTAACTACTACTACTCCTCCTCCCCTAACTACTATAGCTAGCAATATATTGTATTTGTAGTAGTATTTAATGTGCAGTTGGCTTGAGCGTGCTATTGCAATATAGCTATTATTTAACAACAATAATTCAGCAGCATGTCAAACAAACCTCATTTCTGCTCAGTAAAGTAATATAAGAAATAAAAATTATCCTTGTGTTCCCTATTAAAACCTACCATGGTGTCTTCCTGTGCTTCTATCAGCTCAGAGCACATATTTATTCTTTAACACAGTTTAATTCTTGACAAGTTACTCATCCTGAATTGTTGCTGCCTCCTGTTCTGATGGCCAGAAATAGCTCCCATTTCGGAGGGGTGTGCACTACCTTTTATGTCTCTAGGTGTCTCTGACTGCATGTGTTTGAGTTGACATTTTTTGGAGTTGCTTTTATGCCTTCAGTAGCCCTTTCTGGGAGAAAATGATGCACGACTGTGCCTTTTTATAAAATCCCTGCCATCCCAGCAGCAAGGAGACCAGGTGTTTCGCTCGGATGCCTATCTCGCTGGGGTGATCTGACCCCCGCTGACTTCCTGCCCCTTGGGACCTGCTGGACCCGATGGTCTCGCGAGGTCCCTTCCAGCCCTGATGTCTCTGAAATCTATGAACCTCTAAATCTAAATACAAAATTATGCTTGACAACCAAAGATCAGAACTAGACTTTCCCAGTTTCCAATTCAATTTGGATCTACAGCTATTTTATCAGGTAGTTGAAACACAAAGTAATAAAGGCCACCCATGATGATATGGGGTCAGAGAAGGTAACCTCAGGCAGTGGATCCCCAGATATTAAAAGGCAGAAGGTCTTACCTGCGTATGTCTAGGAAGACCTCTGTGCCCACCACACAGATGGCATTTCTTGGGTGCAAAGGGGATACCTGTAGGACTCGTTGCTTGGTCATGATGAGCCTTGGACTGTAAACGTGCATGCAATTAGCAGCTGTGCTCCCGTGGCGTTCTGTTTTATCAGCAAACCTGCATGACTGGTTAAGAGGCATGGGACGTTTAGCTCCTCCTTCCTCCCATAGCTCTATCAATCGATGGGCTGGAGACACTGTCCTTTCCACCTTCGAGATTTCCAGCTGTTGGGGTTTTATAATCAGAGGCGCGGTTAGAAAGGGCAGGACATATGAAGCCAACCTCTTGCTTGTACAGCCGGTCACTGCGAAGCACTGGGTGCACATGGTGGTTGAGTCATTTCAGATTCAGAGATGGGCTTAAAAACAGGCTGGGCCATTAGGCAGGAAATCTTGGGCAACTGCACGGTGTGGCTCCTAAAGCTCATAATATTTCTAAGAGCTTTAGAGAGCTGGAGCCTCTGAAGGACCCTTTGAAACAGGCAGCTATGATTATTATATATTTGAGGTGACTTACAAACTTTGATCTGATGGGAACTTGGACCTTCCAGCACAATGGATGGTCCAACATCTCCCCCTGGTTTGGTTTCATAGGCATTAGGGCTGGAAGGGACCTCGCGAGATCATCGGGTCCAGCCCCCTGCCCCAAGGGCAGCAAGTCAGCTGGGGTCTAAGGAACCCAAATGTTTCTTAAAAGTCTCCAGGGTAGGTGCTTGCACCACCTCTGGAGGCAGTCTATTCCAGGCCTTGGGGGCTCGGGCAGTAAAGAAGTTTGGCTTCTTTTGGCTCTAGTTTGGAGCAAAAAAAAAAAAAAAGATCCCATAAAACAGAACTGCCAAAATGGCTTAGCTCGGGGGAAACGATTTGCTTCAGAATTATTTAATGCAAAGGGGATACCAGAATTATTTAATGCAAAGGGGATACCATTTTCCAGAAAGGACAGGCTTCATTTTGAAACGCTTTTCCTGGGGTCGTTTTCACCAAAATGATGATATCATTTCACAGAATAATGACTTTTGGGGAACCGCATTTTCTGACTCTCTTCCCTCCCCACAAAATACCTTATCTGAACTATTTTCCAACCCTCACTAGCTCATTCACGGCTCGCCTCACTAGCTCATTCACGGCTCGCGGTCAGCAGGGTTTCCTGATTCAGTTTCAAGGCGGAATCAGGGTTTTGGTTAAAGCTGACGTTAGCAAAATTCACTGAGATTTTGGCTGTGTCTGAACTGGAAACAAGAGGTCGTCTTTTTGTGCTGCCCCTGTGCAGCCTCTAAAGCACTTGGGCCACGGTCTGTGGCTGGGGCACCTCCACCGTACCGCAATATTAACCTTTGCCGATCCCAATATGGGGCATACTTCATCTTACCCAACGTAGGTAGGATCAATTTTGCAGCTTAGCAGAGGGAAGAAAAGGAAGTCTTTTCAGTTCTGCATTTCGGGTCTAGGAAGCCGTGATTCGGAGGCTGTGCCCATCACTCCTGTGCTCAATAGCAACCTCTGCCCCTTTCCTCCAAAAATGTGTCCAAGCCCTTTTTGAATTTGGCTGAACCGTCACCTTCTCCACCGCCTCGTAGCGATGAGGTCCACACTTTAATTACAAACTGTGTGAAAAAAAAACAACAAAAAAAACTTCCTTCTGTTAGTTTTAAACTTGCTGCCTACTAGCAAGGTTTTTAACTGGGAAAAATATTTTTCCAGCAGACCCTGGTGAATTAAAAAATGTACTTGGTTATGGAAAGGAGTGGAAATATTGTAGCTTGTATTTTTTTTTCAAACACCTTGTGGCAGAATCATTATAAATTTAGTTAAAGGCTGTTTGCTCAAGTGTGTGATCTTATGGGCTCCTGTTTCATTTTGCACAAATCCCCACATTTTCAGATTTTTCTTTTTAGACATATTTTTCAACCTAAAAATACTTAATGCATAAGGTTTCACTCGAACAGACTTTCTTTTCTCAGCTGGGCCGTTAAAACTGCCTGCAAAGAGGACCTTTTCATTAAAAGGAAGGTTATTATTAAGAATAATTAACCGTAGTTTTTCTTAACCTCATTTAAAGAAGATTTGGGATTGTTGCATATTTATGACTTAACTTGTAACGCCTAAAATCTCCTATCCTTCCTCTTACCCCTGATGATTTTTATGATGTTATTTATATCATTAATAGAGCAAAAAAGTCTGTTAAATAAAAATAAACTGTTGAAATTTTCCATTTATTCTGACAGTAGTTGACCTTACCACCAGGACAGCCTCATTAGGATGACTGCTTTAATAAACTGTATGCTGAGTTAAAATCAAATTAATTATTGTTACAACTCCTCCCAGCATAATAGCTTCTGTATAAATTGCTCAGGGTAGAAACTGGAAAGCATAGCTCATTATTTGGGAGGGGAAATGATAGCAAGCGCCATGGTTTTATGGGGGGGTGAAGAATCACTGATTTCTGTAAATGAAAGAAAATGCCTGGAACATGGTCTCCATTCATTATTTCTCTCGTGGCGCCTACTCACGAGCCGGATCTGATCGTGCCGGATGTATAAACTCAGAACAAAGCCAACCCCTGCCCCAAGGCATTTACAATATAAACAGCCGAGGAAGTGGGGAGCCCATCTAGGGCTTCGTGTCCTGCAGAGATCTTGGTGCTCCCGAAGCTGAACCTTCAAGATCTTTCTTTTTTTTTGAAGGCTTCTTGACAAAGCCGAATTTCCAAGAGGACTTTGCAGGTGGATAATTCGATGGTTTTGTGAAGCTCCTTGCCCGTGCAAGGGGGCAGCATGGGAAAAAGCACAATGGGGCTTGTTTGAAAACTGTAAAGAGCAACTCTAAGATTTGGGGCTGACCAGGGGTGCGGGCTGGCACCTCAATAGGCAATGAGAGGTGGGATACTAGGTATGATCCAGTGCCTCTTCTAGATACACACTTTGCACAGTTAAACTGGTGCAGCCCCTAGTGCGGGCACATTATATCAGCATCAAGGTGCCATGCACAGTTATCATTTTATTCCCCTTCCCTTTGACTGTTATGGCTTATTCCTACATCTCTATAGCTAGCTAAACACATCCTCCAGAAGAGGCGCATTGCTTTAACTATCGAAGCAACATGTACAGTTTCTGTATGTAGGCATGAATTTGTCACGGGAAAGTGCGACATAGAAAATGGTCTGATATTCAGTAATTGCAGTTGGTTAAAGCTTCTACCCTTTGCTGGCCATGTGTGGTCTGATGCTACTCCGTAGAGATTGGTCTCATGGTCTTCAGCAGTCTTGGGACCAAGCTTATAATGAGCCAAACGTTTAAAGATCATAGTGGGGTCCTAAACGTGGCCGGTGCCCAAGTTTTAGTGCATATAGAAATTTTAAAAAGGGGTTTGGACACAGATCTGTCAGTACAGAACCTTCCACAAAGGGTGACAGAAAATGAATTCCTGTTTGTGAACTGGTATTTTTGATCTTTGGCTAAAAAATGCCAGGCACTGGTGCAGATTCGTATTGCCCACGTTAGAAGTGAGCAGCCCTTTTGACACTAGTTTGGTGGGCAGCACTTGGCACGGGTCCCTCATCTAACAGCAGCAACGCATTTGCAAACCTTCCCGTTGGTGGAGCCCAGAGCCCCATGTTGCCCCAATAACACATCCCTGTGGATCCCTGCTATTCCAGTCCATAAGCCACAATCTTAAATGAAAAATGCAGACAACTTGATGTTTGCTAGCGTCTCAAGAGACCCCTAGGAAAGAGCGCAGCTTGCCAATGACCTTTAATGTCTTTAGTGGGGCAGAGTCTGCTCTCAGAGCATAAAGCCCTTCTTTCCCCACCCTAAGGCAGTCATTCTTCCCAGGTACAGAGAGGATCTCTAACAGGCGCTGTGACCACTTTTGATCTCCCTTACCTGCCTGCTACACACCCACCTGTTCCCTCTCCATCTGCCAGTACCTCCTGCCTGCCCACGCACCACCCGGGTGGTTAAAACTTTAAATCATGTACTCTCTCAGGCCTGAACGTTTGCCAGTAATTACACCTTGCACCGCAGGCTGCTAATTAAGAACTTGGAAAGCACCCAGATAGGGGCGGGAGGAGGAATTTGGACCATGGAGAGATCGGCGAGTGCAAACCCGGGCTGCGGAGATGGACACTTGGACCGTCACGATCTCCTATGCCTGTTCTTCTCCTGTAACCCCCTCCACCTTCTCCTGGGACCTTTGTGTCGTGATGTCTCAACAGATTGCTGAGATGCAATCATCCATGAGATGATAGTATTAATCCCCCCTCCCCCCCAGCACATTGAACTGGATGAACTGGGTTTGGATTTGGCAAAATCCCCAAATAAGCTGGTTTGGTCAGGCTTGTTTTTCAGCCCAGTGCGTTCCCCTGATTGTGGTACAGCCTGAGCTGTTCAGACTGCCTCTCTGTGCGACCTGAACTGGATCCTGGATCCAGGCAGGCAGAGCGATTATTCCAGTGGTTCTCAACCTTTTGTGGACTCGAGACACCCCTCAGAAAATGCCAGAAAAATAACAGGGCCATTCTTCTGTCGCAAAGAGCTCAGACTGACCGCCGCGGGTCAGACTGTTTTTGACACCATGCGGATTCCTGTTTGAAATCTCTGGGTTTGTCTTGTTGAATCAGGTTTGCACACCTAACAGTGCTAACGTTGCATAGCACCCCGTAGCACCCTTGAAAGGATCTCAAGGCACCCCGGGGTACTGCTGCACTGCCCTGTACTACGCCAACCAAATGCCAGAATCACTTCATGCAGTGCCGCATAGCTCTTCGCAGCTTAAGCAGAGAAATACAAAGAAGGGGCAACATTAGCTACCTCTGCAGCCTACTATACTTGAAAGTGGCTCATTGAAGCCAGAAAAATCAGTGATCCAGGATTTCTCCTTGGAAGCAGGGATCCTCTAAAATGGGTTGCTACTGATCTAAACCCCAGGTAGCAGCTGTCTCCGTACAGCACCTATAAATGTACAGGTGCAGTCCACATACATGAAAAAATGAGATAGCAGAACTGCCTGCAATGCAGAACTGATTCACAGGAGGAAATGTATGCTATCATTATCAGTATTACTATTATTATGGTAGTACCCAGTAATCCTAATCATGGACCATGAGCCTTCTGTACCAGGAACTCTACAAATGCAGAACAAAAGCAGTCCCTGCCCACAAAAACACTGTTTAATTAGGATATGTCCAAACGGGTACATATACAATTGGAATTTGCATTGGCTTCGGGAAGCTGTTCCAAGGCTATTAGTGCTATTAGGTAGCAGGGAAGCAGGTAAAAGCCTGTTTGCTTCGAGAAAATGTCTGCCCCAAAACAGATGTGGGCACTAAAAAACCTTAAAATGGTATAATTTCCACCAGTTGATCTTTTGCCTCCCCCCCACCCCATGCTTCCAGGAGTAATTCCCCATCACTTTGGGTGAAGTTACCCTGATTTAGCAGTTTGCATAGACTTTCCTCTACTTGTGTTTGCTAATATAATGCCAAGCGTGTTGGTATAAATGTTTCAGCGCTCTATGCCCTTAATCTCAATTGTATTTCACAAGTCTCTCTCAAGAAGAAAATGACACTGCCTAGTTTTCTAAGAAATTGTGGTGTAGTGAGACCATGTAACATCACCCTGGAAATCATGCACTTGATTTATGAGCAGAGGCTGAGGGAACTGGGCTGATTTAGTCTGGAGAAGAGAAGACTGAAGAGGGATTGAATAGCAGCTTTCAGCTCCTTGCAGGGGGGCTGCAAAGAGGATGGAGCTGGGCTGTTCTCAGTGGGGGCAGATGACAGGACAAGGAGCAATGGGCTCAAGCTGCAGCAAGGAAGATTTTGGTTGGATATTAGGAAAAACTTTCTCACTAGGAGGGTAGTGAAGCACTGGAACAGGTTACCCGGAGAGGTGGTGAACTCTCCATCCTTGGCAGCTAGACAAAGCCTTGGCTGGGATGATGTAGTTGGGGCCAGTCCTGCTTGGAGCAGGGCGTTGGACTAGGTGTGACCTCCTGAGCTCCCTTCCAAGCCTCATTTTCTATGACTCTATGCCTCATGGTCTTAATACCCGATGAACTAGGAATGACTCCGAACATGCTCTCTTCATGACAAGCAAAGTGTGTGACCTTGTAGCACATTGAATCTGGCCCATGATTTCTTTGGAAGCAACTCATAAGAATCAGAAAAATGATCTGCTGAGGCTGCAATAGCAAGGTCATTTGCTGGAGAGCTGCCTTCTGGGTGGGTGGCAATTCCAGGCATCACTTCACACCTATTGGGAGTGTTTAATTTGTTTGCTACTCATCAGTCCAGCAGGCGGTCTTTGATTTAACTTTGATCCGTTCCTGGGTGGTGAAGGCAAATTGTCAGCCAAGCCTGAGCTGATTATTTATTGCTTGCAAATGCGGCAGACCTCTACCCAAGAGCTTGCTCTAGCTTCTCATGGGGGTAGAAGGTCCTGGCGGGGTTTTGTGCTGCAACCAGCTATTGAGAGTCTGCCCACGGGGTGGGGAGGGAGGTG